CCCTAACCTATTATTGCTGATCTGATGCAAACCTGCTAAGTTTGCCTCCCAGTATCCACGGTCGGTCCTATACTTACCAGTGTGTTTTATATAAGTATTTGTGAGAATTACACGAGTTTATTTTTATATATTGTTATATATGTTGCAGCTCTTATGAGGGACCGGGTGTCTTCACCCCCACATGAGACCCACGGGAGAGGAGATGGCTTGGTCCACCTCTTCCCGCGTTACACTTGTCCTCCAGGACAGTTTAATTCTTTATTTGTTTTATTATGTTTACTGTTCCCTGTATGGGAAACCTATTTCTATTCTTTCCTCTAACTTTTCTTCTTCCCTCCTTGACCCATCGGTGGATTGGAATGCATACTCTCAATCCCTCACCCTCTGGTTGTACGTGAGTTTCTCCACCTGCGAGGTGTATGCTCGCGATGGAGTAAAACACTCTTCTAAAAGATCTAACCCTTATGGCTGTTGATTTCACTGTACTCTCCCATAACGTCCAGGGTCTGAATTCCCCTCATAAGCGAAATAAGGCATTTTCTTACCATTCATCATGTCATGCGGACATAGTGTGTTTGCAGGAGACTAGGTTCTCCACAACTTCCTGCCCCAAATACCTACACAAAAACTTCCCAATTTTTTATACTGCAACCTTCACTGAAAAGAAAAGAGGTGTGCGGATTGCACTACGTAAGAATCTGCCATTTGTTTGTGATAAGCAAGTTACAGACCCTACAGGACGTTATGTGATCTTAGTGGGAACCTTATATGATGTAGATGTAACTATTGTGTCATATTATTGCCCCAATACCCATCAGCTTCGATTCCTGTCTCACCTGCTCGGGGTCGTATCCCAACATTTGAAGGGAGTGTTGCTCCTAGCAGGAGACACTAATCTGGTACTTCACCCTGTTAATGATAGGACTAAACCTACCACCCACACTAGCCCACCCTCCTCACTACCACTGGATAACTCCTCCCTCCTCACATTGCTGAATGATCACAGCCTGGTAGATGTTTGGAGAGAATTAAACCCGACCACACGTTTTTCTCCAAACCCCATCATTCCTTCTGCAGGATAGACCACATATTCACCCAGCAAAGCACCCTAAATGCGTTCATATCTGCTCGCATCAAGGCAGTACCATGGTCGGATCACGCCGCTAACGCAGTGAGATTCCACCTAGCAGCAGGTACCCGGCAACAGTACTTATGGTGTGTGAATGAAAGTTTGTTGACCTCGGGGGATTTTTTGCAACAGGTCGAGTCGCATGCCCGCCAATACTTCGCTCTGAACACTGGCACAGTGGACTCTCCAGTTACTCTTTGGGAGGCCCATAAGGTTACTATTAGAGGCCACTTACTAGAAATGGCCTCCCGTAGGAAAAGGGATAGAAATAGTAGGATAAAAGAATTATACTCCGCGCTCGGGGAGCTCGATAGACAATTGAAGGCTAAATTTGACAAACAACTGTTAGCACGCCTCAACACATTTAAAACTGAACTGAACCTCCTGTTAGACAAACAAACAGAGAAGCTTATCAGGTGGTCCAAACATAAGCTCTTCACCAGAACTAACAAGCCCGGCTCTATGCTAGCCCATAAACTAAACGCCCTACCCCTGAGGAACACCCCCATTAAACTCCGAACTGCCCAGGGAAACATTACTGCAAACCGACAGGATCGTCGATTAATTTCATGAAAATTTAACAAATCTTTATTCCTCCTCGTTCTGCAAAGAGCAAGCGGATGCCGCATTTAAAGATCTTACTCTCCCGTTGGTGTCCCAGGAATCCCTTGATTCCCTGCACTCAGCTATAACAGAGGAAGAGGTAATGTTAGCTATAAAATCCCTCAAAACATCTAAGGCCCCAGGCCCTGATGGCTTCTCTGCCCTATATTATAAAAAATTAGCACACATCCTGGCCCCTAGAGTAACTGACATGTTTAATTCCTTAAGCAAAGGCGATTCATTACACCCCTCATCCTTACTAGCATATATTTCCATGGTCCCTAAACCAGATAAAGACCACCTGGACCCTAATAATCATCGTCCAATATCTCTGTTAAATGTGGATATTAAACTACTGACGAAAATATTAACTAACCAATTTAATGAGTTCCTGCCCACAATAATCCATAGGGACCAGGTGGGATTTATCCCCTCCAGACAAGCGGGAGACAACATTAGAAAAATTATTCATCTTGTACATGTGCTCAAAACCAGGAATGTTCCAGGCCTCTTATTGTCCCTGGACATTCAGCGGGCATTCGACTCGATCTCCTGGGATTATCTGCGTTATATATTAGTTAAATGGGGCTTCCAGGGACCGTTCTTGAACTGGATACAAGCTTTCTACACTGGGCCAATGGCCCGTATCAAGTATCTGGGTCGTGTGTCTAACCCTATTACCATAGAGAGGGGCACTCATCAGGGCTGCCCCGTCACCGGTTCTCTTTGCCCTAGCCATCGAACCCGATACACTTAATTCGAAACAACCCTAATGTGAGGGGAGTGGAGGTGGCAGGGGTAGAATATAAAACCAGCCTATTCGCTGACGATGTCATGCTAACTATCACCCAGCCTCATACCTCCATCCCCAATCTACTACACATTTTGGACATATTCTCAGGGGTTTCAGGCTTGGAGGTAAATTGGAAAAAATCAGCGCCCCTGAACATTTCCCTTGCCCAATCTACATACGAACAGCTCCGCAAGAACTTTGCATTCTCCTGGGAACGGCTGTCCCTGAAATATCTGGGGCGTAAATATTACACCATCTTACGCTACTCTATACACAGCCAATTATTTACCCCTGTTCCACCACCTTAAATCCTTAATGACTAGCTGGGAGCGCTAGTCATTAGTTCGGGAGAGCAGCAGCAATTAAGATGACCATCCTGCCTAAGCTGTTGTATTATTTTAGAGTCCTACCAATAGCTATATCACCCTTTGCACTACGATCCCTACAGAAACGAATTTTAACATTCATCTGGCACCCCCTGAGACCCAGAGTACCCAAATCCACGTTATATAAGCATAAAAAAGATGGAGGGATAGGCCTACCTAACATATTACTTTACTATCAGGCTTCCCAACTATCACTATACATCGGGAGACCAATATCCCTTTGTGGACTATGCTGGAAATCCCACACTGTTCTCCAACCCCACTCTCAGCTCTCCCGTGGCTACCGCCCAATCAGAGACAAGCCCTAAAAGTGTGGGATTCCCTAAAATACTCAGCAGCATTAATGTCCCCTTACATGTCCCTTCTCCCTATCACTTCCCAACCTATGTTCCCACGGCATGTACTAACCCGGAGCAATTTAAATGGTGGAGCGCCAATGGGTTTATTAGGATTTATGATCTATTCAGTCACACTGCTATCCCCACATGGTCATACCTCTTTAAAGAGCACAAACAAATCCCTGACGCGGAACTATTCCGTTATCTACAAATACGACACTGGGCGTCTTCCCTACAAGAACGGAGACCCTCGAACAGACCCCTCACTAGCTTTGAGCATATGTGCCTCCACTCCCCAAACAAGTGTCGCTATTATATTTCACGCTCAACTCCCTGAAGCGTCTTGACTTGCACACTTACCCTGCAAGGTGGTCTACTGACCTTAATCTTACTTGGACTGAGGAGAACTGGGGCAGGGTATGGGAGGAACATCTCCCGATGCTCCTTTAATGTCACCAATATGGAAGTGGCTTATAAGGTTATGTTCCGCTGGTACATGGTCCCCACCCGCCTAGCCAAAATATACCCAACCTCGTCCACTGCCTGCTTCCGGGGGTGCACAATCGCTGGAGACATGCTCCACACTTGGTGGACGTGTCCGTTTGCCTCACGATTTTGGACTAGAATCTTTCGCTTACCCTCCAGTCTGTTTCACACCCGCATCCCCAAGGATCCCACCCAAGCTCTGCTACATAATACCATACCCGGTCTAACCACCTCCCAAAGATCACTAGCACATCAGATCCTCTTGGCAGCCAAATTGACCTTAGCAAATAACGGGAAAAAACAAATCCTGCCAGATCGTGAGTTTACTTCAAGACTAGACAATATTATGACTTATGAAAGATTGTCCAGTATTCTGAAAGATACACATGCCAAGTTCTTAATGATATGGGAACCTTGGGTGCTATATCAACACCCGGATCTAAGCTAGGACACCCTTAGACTTCTATGAGAGACTGCTATTTCAAAATTGGGAGTGCCTCTAGTTGGGTAGGCCCTAGTAGGCTGCCCTACTGACCTAATCTTCACCACAACCAGCTGTAGCATCACACAGATGGATCTGATACCCAATCCATCCCCTCTCCCCCGCTCTTCTTCCCTCTCACTCTTTTCTAAAACTTTCCTATGATCACTTTTTGTTAGTAGGGACAGACATAAAGTAATGGTACCCACTTTGGACTTTTATGTACATTATAAATTTGCATACATTGTTTGTATTGTACCCTTTATGTAATGTCTCTTTTACCTGTGAAAACTGAATAAAATACATTGTTATAAAAAAAAAAAAAATAGTCACAAGGTGAGAGACTGATCCAGGTCATCAATTTGTGAACACAGCCAAGAACTGCACAGGCTTTAGAATTTACATGATCATTTCAACTATGAATCAGCATCTCACTTTAGGATATAGGTACTGAACCTGCATAATGCCTGAACAAAAATGGCTCTGTCCTTCCAGAATGAACGTGGTTTTTAACACAAAATGCACACAAGTAACATGTGCAGTATAACCAACCTGAAAGGGGGGGGGGGGTTTAACCTCTCTGCTCCTTTTAAACCTTTACTTTTAATAACTTACAATGTTGCCAATTTGTATAAAATGAAAATGTACAAAAATATAAAAATAAAAAATTTATTATAAATGAAAAAACAAAAACATACCAATTTCAACATGTGGTAACATGACTTATGTTGCATACTTAAAATCAAGGTTAAAGCCGAATTGGACAAACATGCTGGACAATAAAACAGAAAAGAATGACAGCTTTACAGCACTTCTTGACACTGGAATGTAGCAGTTTAGATGATACTGGTTGGTGCAAACGCTGGAGTGAAGCAGAGGGAGTCAGAGATCTCCCAACCACAGGACATTGGAGTGCAGACAGTTTCCTTCTCCACAACGGTATGTAATCCCTTTTGCAGTAGCTGAGTTGCCTCCCTAAAAAGAAAAACCAAGAGAAGAAGTGTCACACCATCAGCCAAAATAATTCTTAAATATAAACATCCTTTACCAGTATATGTTTTTAACCTATATGTCAGATGGCAAGAAACACTGAAGCTGTGTACCTGCAGAGGCCTTTCTGCTCTTGAGGTTACACTGCTTTTGAAAAGAGGGTTCATTAAAACGCTTAATCTGATTGGATGCAGGCATTGTTCAGGTATTTTAAGAGCCAGGGCGGCCAACTAGCAAGATACCGGAGCTTGGCCCAGTGGGAGATTCCTCCAGCCACACAGTTTAGTATAGATGAAGGAATCTGTTGCACTTTTCCCATCGTACCATAGAAAATCTGTAGATAATCTATAGGTGTGGCCAGCTTTAAACTGCTGCACTACTCCTTCCTCCCATCCTCAATGAGGATATCCTTACCAGGCAGTGCGAGGCATTGCATAATGGATGCGGGTCTGTTGAAATCCATTGAAAGTGGATGAAGCCGCCACTGTGTAGGCTCCCATGTTTTCAAATAGCAGCCAATCACCAACGTGGAGCTCAGGCAGCTGAAGACACTCGGCAATTTGATCCAGTCCATCACATGTTGGTCCCCATAAACTACTGGTGTACAGTGGCTGATCCGGGGAAGGTTTCTAAAAGAACAAAAGACAAAATAAATAAGTAAAATTAAAAAAAATATATATATAAAAAAAACACATTCTTTTTTTTTTTGCTAAATATAAACTTTTACCTTATGGAGGATGGGTTTAGGATGGGCATGACTTCTCCACAACGGTATGTAATCCCTTTTGCAGTAGCTGAGTTGCCTCCCTAAAAAGAAAAACCAAGAGAAGAAGTGTCACACCATCAGCCAAAATAATTCTTAAATATAAACATCCTTTACCAGTATATGTTTTTAACCTATATGTCAGATGGCAAGAAACACTGAAGCTGTGTACCTGCAGAGGCCTTTCTGCTCTTGAGGTTACACTGCTTTTGAAAAGAGGGTTCATTAAAACGCTTAATCTGATTGGATGCAGGCATTGTTCAGGTATTTTAAGAGCCAGGGCGGCCAACTAGCAAGATACCGGAGCTTGGCCCAGTGGGAGATTCCTCCAGCCACACAGTTTAGTATAGATGAAGGAATCTGTTGCACTTTTCCCATCGTACCATAGAAAATCTGTAGATAATCTATAGGTGTGGCCAGCTTTAAACTGCTGCACTACTCCTTCCTCAATGAGGATATCCTTACCAGGCAGTGCGAGGCATTGCATAATGGATGCGGGTCTGTTGAAATCCATTGAAAGTGGATGAAGCCGCCACTGTGTAGGCTCCCATGTTTTCAAATAGCAGCCAATCACCAACGTGGAGCTCAGGCAGCTGAAGACACTCGGCAATTTGATCCAGTCCATCACATGTTGGTCCCCATAAACTACTGGTGTACAGTGGCTGATCCGGGGAAGGTTTCTAAAAGAACAAAAGACAAAATAAATAAGTAAAATTAAAAAAAATATATATATAAAAAAAACACATTCTTTTTTTTTTTGCTAAATATAAACTTTTACCTTATGGAGGATGGGTTTAGGATGGGCATGATCAAAAAATATGCAGTTGAAGGAACCATAAACACCATCATTGGCATAGTACATTATGTTTTTGTTTGGGCAGTTTTCTTCATCTAGAGAAAAAAGAAAAGTTGAGCATTAATAAAATACTTAGTTTATCGGCACAGCATTGTGTGCGATGACCAGTTCTTAGCGACAGCAGGATAGGGTTTTCTACCCAAAACAAATCTGTGTAAGTGCCATTGCAAAGATTTATTTGAAAACATTTCCACTGGGAACTTACCATCTGAACCGCAATTGTCCAACTGCACCTCCTTCTTAGCGATTATGTTTACAGCCAAAGAGAAAGCAGATGCTATGTAATATCTCCCTGGTTCAGCAATTATCTCTACAGCAGAGCCTTCAGGGAAGTACAAGTCCAGTGCTGGATTTATCACAGCTGCAATCTGTTGTAGAAAGACAAGCTAGTTAGCATCCCCCATTCCTTTTAAAATCATTTCATCATAAAAAGGTGTCAACGTTTGTCAATGCAATCCATTACCTCTTCAAATCGGACTTTTGCATCATCTGTCCCTGGGAATCCACCACCGATGTCCAGCAGCCACATCTTGAATCCAAACTCAGAAGCCATTTCAAAGACTAGCCTGGCATCTGAAATAGACTGCACATATGCCTTGGAATCACTGCATCCACTGCCCACATGAAAGCTGGGGAAAAAATAAAATTAGATTTATTGGAATTATGGCAAAAATATTGAAGTGCATCAAACACACACTGGTATCAAAGTTGTCCTTGCTTACAGATTGAACAAACAGACTGGACCTGTATTTTAAGTGACTTGGGCTAAAAGATCTTGAATATCTTTATACCTTCACTTTTCCCTGATAACCATGGCCAGGAAAATTAGCTATTAAATTAATGGGTTTGTAATCAAAATAAAGATTAAAGGAACTGAAGCCAAAACTTTTCAGTTTTGGATAGCATGGAAGGG